TGTCAACAAGTCATTGGCTTCACTTGTTGTCAACAAGTCATTGGCTTCACGCGTGTACACACGCAATAATCTCGCATCTTGTCAGCGTGTTGTCAACAAGTCATTGGCTTCACTTGTTGTCAACAAGTCATTGGCTTCACGCGTGTACACACGCAATAATCTCGCATCTTGTCAGCGTGTTGTCAACAAGTCATTGGCTTCACTTGTTGTCAACAAGTCATTGGCTTCACGCGTGTACACACGCAATAATCTCGCATCTTGTCAGCGTGTTGTCAACAAGTCATTGGCTTCACTTGTTGTCAACAAGTCATTGGCTTCACGCGTGTACACACGCAATAATCTCGCATCTTGTCAGCGTGTTGTCAACAAGTCATTGGCTTCACTTGTTGTCAACAAGTCATTGGCTTCACGCGTGTACACACGCAATAATCTCGCATCTTGTCAGCGTGTTGTCAACAAGTCATTGGCTTCACTTGTTGTCAACAAGTCATTGGCTTCACGCGTGTACACACGCAATAATCTCGCATCTTGTCAGCGTGTTGTCAACAAGTCATTGGCTTCACTTGTTGTCAACAAGTCATTGGCTTCACGCGTGTACACACGCAATAATCTCGCATCTTGTCAGCGTGTTGTCAACAAGTCATTGGCTTCACTTGTTGTCAACAAGTCATTGGCTTCACGCGTGTACACACGCAATAATCTCGCATCTTGTCAGCGTGTTGTCAACAAGTCATTGGCTTCACTTGTTGTCAACAAGTCATTGGCTTCACGCGTGTACACACGCAATAATCTCGCATCTTGTCAGCGTGTTGTCAACAAGTCATTGGCTTCACTTTTTGGACTCCATTTCTCTCTCCGGACATGTAGCAAGCTTGTCAAAGCAGAGAGAAACAATAGAAACCGGCGTCCAATAGCTCCGTCATTGGCTTCACTTTTTGGACTCCATTTCTCTCTCCGGAATACATGGAGCACACTGGTATAGGTGATCCAGTGATACTTATAAAAAACTCGTACTATTTTTCAAATAAATGAAAGTCCAAATCAAACGAGGATCTCGTTGAAACATAGTTAGTAAACATAGTTTCGATTCCCACCGTAGCCGGGCATATTTTTCAAGCTCGCCCAGTGTGGATATACACTCAGAGTAACATCACAAACATCATATTCACTTGAGCACACAACACCAACACAGAAAAAAATCATATTACTAACTAGATTACATTGGTATCGAAGGAACTAGATTCTGTTCCGAAATATCACATACTCGAACCGTCCTGACCGCGTAGCTCAGTTGGCAGAGCATTGGGCTAGTATTCCAAAGGTCGTAGGTTCGATTCCCAGCGTGGCCGGGCATATTTTTCAAGCTCGCTCGGTCTGGATATACACTCAGAGTAACATCACAAACATCATATTCACCTTAGCACACAACACCAACACCAACACAGAAAAAAATCATATTACTTATCCAAACTTCATTTTGTTAATCTAGTGCTTGAAATCTGCCCTGTAACAATGCGTAACTTCCAACTCTCATCGACTCTCGCCCTCATTAGACCGTGGCTTAGGTATATTCTCCTCTTAGTTTCAGCGGACAAGAGCGCGGATAACATCACAATCCATATACACGATAATGGTGATTGGAGCCCCTGGGCTAGCTGTTCCAGCAGTTGTGGTCGAGGCTACCAGACGAGAAGTAAAAAGATTTGTCTTCAGCTGCCTGCCTCAAGGGAATACGATTGTTCTCATGTGAAAATACAAAAGAAATCATGCGGAGAAACACGCTGCTCAGGTTAGCACTAATAAGCAGAGCCGTTTGAGTAATGTCAGCTAGGGCGGAAATGACAGCTTCTCCGGGAAGGCACTTTACGCCAACTTGATGTCGAAAATGAAAATTTATAGTTTTAAGTAGCAAAAGGGATATGTAGCAATTAGGTTTCTCACAGTTGAGATAGGGTAACTTGAGTTGTCCAATTGGAGTCGAATAACTTGGTCACGGTGAGAATCGAACGCGCGACCTTTGGGACACTAGTCCAATGCTCTGCCAACTGAGCTACAGGGTCAAGTCTGTTCGAGTTGATGATATTTCGGAACTGAGTCTAGTTCCTTCGATATCAGTGTATTGTATGATATGATTATTTTGTGTGTGTTGGTGTTATGTACTCAGGTGAATATGATGTTTGTGATGTTATTCTGAGTGTGCATCCACACCGGGCAAGCTGAAAAGTTAGCTTGGCCACGGTGGGAATCGAACCCGCGACCTGAGTACATAACACGTGGGTTTTCTCCGGGTATTCTGGTTTCCTTGCACAGGGAATGTTGACAGGGTTGGGTGGGGTTATCCCCGAGTCATAAGGTGACTGCCAGAGCCGTCTTTGGCAGTCTTCAACTCGATCAGGTTGAGCTGCATTCTTCGAAATTCAGCTTAGCTCTAGGACGCCTTCTGAGACACTCCGAAATATAATATGTATACATGCATCCATCGCTGGATATCAAATCAAATTTATTTTTCCAAATGAATATAGCATAATAATTACAATTAACACACACACAAAAAAAAATTATATAAAAATATAAAGAAATAAAGGCAGGGTAGCCCAAAATGAAACCAAGAGGCTTATTATATATTGGGCTTCTTTTTCACACAATTAAAGCTGATAGATCAGTGATCAGTCACACAGAATATAATCCAAACACAGAATTAAACACGAGAAAGAAATACAAGAAAAAAAGTAACCAATCATAAAAAATAAAAACAATCACAAACGTCAATATCACAATGTAAATAGAAAACTGTTTAATTTAGAAAAGAATGAAGTAATACTAGGTGCACTTCGTATGTCATCACTTAATGAATTAGAAAACTTAGGAGCTTGATAAGAGACAGAAAATTTTCTAATATCAGTCCTACAGATACACACATATATATATATATATATATATATATATATATATATATATATATATATATATATATATATATATATATATATATATATATATATATATATCATAATAATAGTAATAATAAATAATAATAATAATAA